TCACCTGGCTTCTCTGGTTATTAGTTCCTAAGACTTTATCTTTTGATCCTCATGTTCTGGCATACAATATAAACCAAAGAGGTCTATAAATCTTGATAGAATATCCCACATATCCTTGAAGAAGCAAATGATGGCTCTGTCTATATCCCACATATGAGAAGCAATAAGTTGAAGATAAGGAGAGAACGTTTTGTTACACACACCACAGGCAGACAGTTATTTCTGCTGCACATTCTGAGTTGACTCTCGCCACCTCAGGAATGTTGGCAGATGGTTTAAGTTCCATAATGGCATTTACCCTACCTGGAGAAGGAATGGCTCCATGCTAGTAAGTTATAGAAAAGCCCATGTGAATCAGCATGAAATGGTGCCACAGAGCAGTGACAGAGACTCAGGACACAGCAAGCATAGCTAATATTGCCTGCACCAATAAGAAAAGGATGGCCATTTAGGTCAACTGGGGCATAGAAACAAAATAAGTTTCCGAGAGTTGTGTCTTGTCCACAATGCAAGGATAGCCAGTTTCCTAACAGATGTGAATGGTACCCATCATTAGCTATCATATAAACAATAACATGGTAAGATACTAAACTCATCCATTATCTCTTCTTGTTTTGAAATAACAAAAGAGCTTTGACCCTAAAGCATCACTGATTCTAAAGTTTACGAGGGAAAAGGAACACCAGCATTCCAGCAGGAACTAGAGAGGAAAGCAGCATGACATGGGGTGAACAATCAAGAGCAGAATCCCTCACGTTCGCACAAAGGTTTTCGTATAAAACCGATTTTGGAATTCAGAATCCTATACTTCAAATATTTGGTCAGAAAGGAAAGTCTGTTGAAATCTGTGCAAGGAACTGCAAGTTGCAGTTTATTATTGGTTACATAATATGGACGCCATCAATAAGCTCTGCTATTTAGTGACAGCAATGTTTATCCAAGGACTTTGAAAACGTAGCCAGAATGCATTATTTTTCAGGAATTCGGTGATGGCCTGAGTTAATAAAGCAACTTCCCCCCTTACACACATCCAAACTAAGCATGGCTTGTCAATTATTACCATAAGCATCTGCACTTAAAGCAAATGTTTAACTCCAAGTTGTGTCAAAGCACTTTTCAAAGCGATATAATTTGTGTTAAATCTGTAGAGGACTACATTTAATGGTTCATTTCAGACATGGTCTCTTAGCAGCTGGTACAATCTAGTAATGAGTGTAGAACACACCAATGTCAAGTTTTTCCACACAGAAAGCAATAGACACACTGTGTTCCCAAGCTGCTATTTGGTTCATCTACATGGTTTTCCTTTGTAGTGGCCAGATCTTCCCATTGCACTTCAGTTTGATCTGCTTGATACTTTCTCATATTCCTATAGAATTAGCTTAAGAAAGCTTCATCAAAAGCGATCTAGAATTGAAGCTCATTCATGCCCTTTCACATCAACTGGAACATGACATCACAGTAGGAGGACATCTTCCTCTTTTCTTTCAATTTCTAGGACAGTACGCTGACAATCAATCAAGAAGTTAATGTCATCACCAAATGTTTTTGAGTGTCTGCTATGGGAAGGGCATTGCTCTAGGTACTTCAGATATGCAGCGAGTGAAACAAGAAAACACCTCTTTATTTGTCAAGTTTCCACTCCAGAGGATGGCAAAAAAAAAAAAAAAACAACAACCAAGAGTTGTCATTCACTTGGTATTATGATTTGACATTTTCAAAAATTCTCTGGCTCATGAAATGGATCAAGGGTATGGACTGGGACAATATTGTGGTATCACATAGAGTGATCAGGAAATACTGGCCTATAATGCAATGCCACAACAAAAGAGACCAGGGGGAGAGTCACCTTGAGGCATGAAGAGGTACATTTTTAAAAACAAGAAAAGCAAAAACCCTACTTATGAGGCAGGAGAGTACCAGGGATATTGAAAGAAAGTTAGGAACCCAAAACCAAAGATTAATAACTCAACACTTGCTTAAGCAACACATATACTAAAATTGAAATGTCACAGAGAAAGTTGCAGGGGGCCTGTAAGACTGACTCCCCAATTCATAAAACATCCCATTAAGAGATCCATAACTGATTCACTGTTGCACTGATGGTTAGTGCTGTCTTCAGCCATGGATGGTCTCTCAGCCCCTAGAGCCTCACTCTCCTCACTCACTTTTCATGAAGACAGTAAATAGCTGTCTTCAGCTATTAAATGATAATATTAAATGATGCCTCCTTTCTGGTTGCTCGAACCTTCCTTTATGCATGCCACACACACTCATACCTTTTATTGATTCTCACTTAATCCTTTGAATTTTGGTCCTTAGCTCCTTTTGAACAGCTGGATTCTGTGACCTTTAAGGACAAACATCAATATGACTTCTGAGCTTTGGGGAATTTGGGCTTTTGCTAGGTACAGAATCCAACAATAGTTTTCATAGTCAATAGTTACCATTCGTTTTGGTAGTGTTTCATTCTCTCTAGCAAAGCGAAGACCTGGGGAAATGAAACTGAACAGACAAATGTGTATGTGGCTATGCTCTTGTTATACACCTAAAGATCTAAGGTTCGTCATGCAAGTACTTTGGAAATCCAAAGTGCACAGTTTTGTCTGTTATCACAATAGCAGTATATTTCCTTCTTCTTCTTTCCAATTCTTCTTGGACATTTTGCTTCCTCAGATCCTTATATTCAAATGTAAGTGCATATGAACCCAAGTGACCTCATTAGCAGCAGAATCAATTGTCCGTGTTCAACTAGAGTTTCCTGTCATTAGAATTCACTGACACATGTCCATGCTCATAAGCTCAGTTAAAGATGTTTTAAATGATACAGCATAAATAGGAAAAATCCTGTGGGTGGCTGTTCTGTCCCTGTGCATTTTCTAATTGTGATTGCATATCACTGTTATGGAAGATGCTGCCACTAGGAGAAACTGGGTGAGAAGGAGATACAAGCTCTATCCTAGCTCTTAAAACAGCATGCGGCTCTCCAATTACCTTCCAATAAATAGCCAAACAAGAATTCAGGTCAAACATTATTCATCATCACCATTTTTCCCACAAGACCACCCAAGCGTGCTGATCCTAGAGGGGAAATACATAGGGAGAGTACCATCTTAGGTCCACTGAACCATGCACCCTTTATGAGTAGCGTAGAGAAGTCCCAGAAGGAGATGGATGATTATCTGGGAGACAAAAGGAGTAATGAGGATGATTTTTCTGTTAGCAGAAATGGAGCAGCAGTGCTTGCAGCATCGCTGTGCCTGTACATTGCATCTCCATTCAGTGGCTGTGCCTTTAGCCGGCCACCTGCTGCACAGTCATATGTTATTAGACAAGAACTATTTAATCCTCGTATCTGGTTGGTCATTGTGCCGGTTTCTCAGGCTAACCTTGTTTCCATTCCCTCTCTTTTCTCATCATCTGGCCTTCCCTTCCTTTCCAGAAATTCTTAAGATCATTGACTTCACTGACGGAAGTCAGGCTTCTGACCGACTAATAAATAAGTTCACCAGTGAAAAGCCTATTTTTCATTCTGTTTAATTACAGGCTTCAAAGACACTCAAAATGGAGGCTGTCTTAGGCACAAATAATACTGTAGGCTTGCTTTACTTTCCTCCTGTTGGCATTGGCACCGAGCCCTTCCTCTGCTTTGAAATTCATGGCTGTGTCTGTGTCTGCATACTAAACAGACCATGGCCACCCCTGAGCCTGCTTCGCCTGTCCAGATGTGGCCAAATAATCCAGAAATCTTAGCACCCAGTTCAGAGGTGGAGTTTAGTTAATTAATACGGTCCATTTGTTTCCAGTGTAATCTACATATGTGATCATAAATGGATTCCCATATAGTAATTTGAATTGGATTTGTTAAAACTAGGGTGGGAGTTAGGCTGCAATGTGCTTCTGAATTCTAGATACCTGACTTCAAATTTTGTTCTTTGAATATGAATGCACAAAACATTTGAATGGCATATGGATGCTACAAAATGTACACAAAGCAAACAAACAAGAAACTAATAGTGAAAAGAAGTTTCTCCTTCCACACCTCTTTTCCCGTTAACTCTTACAACCACTTTTGACAACGTATGCCACGTTCTGTGCACAGAAAAGCATATGCTACCGATTTTGCAAAGAAAAACACTCCAACTACACCTTCCTTTTGTATAAAAAAAAATGATACAGGCAAAGTACCAGCATTTGTTCCTTTTACTTAAAGATTGCACTTAAAGCTACATTATCCCCTGTATTCTGCCCCCAGATTTGAAAAGAAATTCCTGGAAGTTACCATCTTAGCCTTCGACAGCTTTGTTGCATGCCTGTAGCCATTTTGTATTTGATCGTGTAGATGGACATTTGGTGCTTTAATGAACAGTGCAGCAAATTACTACAAACCAAATATCGGTTTAAACAATTTAAAGGTATAGGAAACATTCCACAAAGGTAAATCTTGCCCTTTCAATTAGGTGCCTTTTAATTTAGTAGATAATGCCCAATAATTACTTTCTAGTATTTTTATATATGAAAGGATGCTTCTTTATATCTATCTCTTCTCACCGTATTTCCAAATTTTAAACCTGCTAGTTTAATCATTGTAGATTCATGGCTGAGGTCAATCACTATTCAAAATGATACGTAGAAACAGAAGAGCAAAGATGAGATCTGCAAAGCATAGAAAATTGAGTAACTATTTCCAGGTGTGAGATTCTGCTTAAAAGAAGGAGGAGGTGGATAGATAGAAAGAAGGAAAGGAGGGAGGGAAAAGGGAAGAAGGAAGGAAAAAAGAAAGACCTCATAATGTCTCCTGCAATAAAACATGTGCTTGAATTTTGAAAGTTATTCAAACAGTCAGCTGGCTTTGCAGGTCAGCATTTAAAAGCCTTGACAAACAGCACCAGGGTTCTGACCTTAAACTCCTTGAGCTCTTAGTACCTGCGAGCATGCACCAAACATTCTTTCCCTGGATACCCTTTCTTGGTCACATAGTTCATCACTAATGCCTACTGCGGGAGGACACAGAACATAGAGCTGCTAACACATTTTGAGAAGAGTACATCAGAGTGAGCAAGCCACGCTATCTGGGCAGATCATTCTTTTTAGTATGTCAAGATCCAGTCCTTTCTGTGTCACTTCCAAAATTGCAACAATAGGAAGCCTGTGCTTGCTACCATTCCAGGTAACCATCAATACTTCTGGGAGCTTTCTGTGGTTCTCTAAGTGTTTGATTTTCTGTGTTTTTGTCCTCTGTGTAACTACTGCGAGTAAAGAACTTTCTTCCAGGTATGACTAGCCCCCATGTTTTATATTTTTTATTGCTCCAAGACGGAAAATCAAAACATTCATGACCTCAGTCTCACTTCTTTGTTACTTAGCTGCAATGGTACAGAAATAAGAGGTGCGATGTACACTTTGCTTCACTTTGTTATGATTTGGGATGTTTTTAAACTCAGTAGTGCTGTTGACACAGAGATGCTATAGCTATATTAATTTAGAAAATGTTTATCAATTTCTTCAACTCACTGGATTCTTCACAGGTTTTCAGTGCTGGCTGCTACAGACAGAACCATTTCAGGGTTTTTTGTGGTTACTCTGTGCCAGCATCTCTTTCTAACCAATAATGGCATACTTGTGTCTCTGTTACTTGAATGCAATGCATCTGAAAGATTTAGATCTATGGCATACAAATTCCTCCTTTCATTATTTCATAACAACTTGGCAGTTAATGCACTGGCCGTGCAGTGGTAATAATGAGATACCATGCACTCCAATAAGGGTACAGCAGAACGAGGAGAGTAGGAACTGACTTGAAAGGGAAATGCTAGCTTCAATTGTTTTATCTGTTAAACTAGATCCCAAACGGTTGCATCTACTCATAAACAAAGCTTCTTTATAGGCAGAATTTGAATGTTCATTTTCCTCTCGGTTAGTATGCAAATCTCTTTGCAGCATTCCAGCAAAAGAGAATGCAACTCATCTTCTGTGCTTATAAACTGCTCATTCTCATGCTCTCTGATGGTCAATCCATTGCTCCATCTGGCATAAATAGTAGGTGCTGAAAAAGGCACATTTGGGATCAAGCGGGAAACACAAATCCCATACAAATCCAAAAGACCATCGCTTGAAATACTGTGGCATCTTATTTGTACTTACATTTGTATATGGTAGTCTGGAAAAGTAAATGCTTTAACTGGTCTCATTAACTCTCACTGCTGTTTGTGAAAGATGTGTGAAAAGTCTTCACATTGTACAAAGGAGTCTCAATATAAAAAGTCAGAGGAACACACAAGAAGTCTCCAGAAAGAAACATCTTCCTTGTGATTTGGGTGTGAAATGTTGTAGCCTCTAAGGCTCAACACTGAGAACTAAGATAATTTTTGTTAGATTGTTTAGGGTTTGGACCTCTCAAACGGTACTTTTTGATAAATAAATATTTCCTCTTTGATAAAGAGAAAATTTCATTATGTGTGTTTTTCCCAAACAGAAATATCGTGCAACCATAAATTGACCTCGGTGATTAAAGCCACCCTTTTCATATGTTTACTTAACTCCCATCAAAGCCAACAGGATTGACTTCTGTTTTCCCTGCCTGGGAAAAATCTTTCCTTTGCGTGAAAATCATACTCAAATAAATCGTGACCCTCACACCTCTCACTAAAATAAAAAAACAAAGAAATTCAAGGGTCCCAATGGCTCTCGAGATCAAACAAAATCTCTAGAGAAAACAAATACTGTTGAGATCCATCTCTTGGGTATGCATGGGAATCTCAGTGGTTCTGCTCTTACTGAGTTTGAGAATCTACCCAGAGGATTTTTTTTTCCCCAGTTAAAACTCTCTGTGTACCAACATTAAACAATGCTGCAAAGCTTTTAATTAAAAAAAAAGTGATGTAAAAATCACACTGTCTCCAGGCACTGTTTTCATTAAAGGATTAGACCGATGAAATGTTTAGATTTTATTGTTCTAAATATGTGTTTCAGCTGGTGCTCTCAGATCTATCGTGTGAAGAAAATGAAATGTAAGTAAATAACAAGATATTCCATATTTTTATTTAGCATCTGAAAAATTCAAAGAGTCAGACTCTCCATTTAAAAAGCTTCAAAGGGTACTCATGAAAAAAAACATAATTTCTAACAAAAAAAGGAATGCTATGACCATTATGATCACTTTGTTTAATAAGTAACAGAGCTATCTTCAGGCTCTCGAGTTCTCCTCCCATTAGGTTCCCAAGGTTGTTAGGCCACAAAAGTATTGTGACATCCTCCTCCCTTGCCCCTACACTCATAACTGTGGCAGTTGCAAGGAACAGTTTCCAAACAGTTCATTTTCAAATACAGCCAATGAACCCACATCTTATCCTGTGTTATGTGTGCATCTCAAAGGGCATTGAATGCAAATTAAGTGAATAATTGATTCATTTCCCTACTTCTTGAGGCTTAATGGTTTTCAGAATTCTGTTCAGGAGATGAGAAGGTGCCATTAATAATGCTGATGATGATGAATGGGAACCCTAATGCAGTGTGACTGAGTGTAAGTGTCAAAAAAGCACTTGTGCCAAGTGCTGTGTTCTGGGTGCAGCACTCTGCCAGCCAGCTGTTTTCAATTATCGTTGCCTCATCCTCTTGAAGCCCTGCCTGTGGGCATTGCCTCTAAAGCAAGAGACGGGGTCAAGTGGGAGTTGTCCTTAGGCCTGGAATCATTCACTCTTTCAGATCATCCTGTTGCTAGACTGTGTGGGTTGCTCTTTCAGCATCTGCATGCCCTTTCATAGCTGTTTCTTTACATTAATTTTTGGACCTGCTACTGTGCTCTGTCTTCTGCTACTTGTGACTGATCAGCTGTTTATAGATTTTGCTTGACTCTGAATTTCAAGTCTGTCCACACCTTGCCTTCTTATTTTTTCCTTGACCCAGAATAATAGACTCCTATGATTGGGAAGAGCCTTAAATGTTGACTCTACTATCTAATCAATAGTACAAGGAGGGGTGGTACTGGGAAGTCTAAAAGCTTCCTTATTGCTTCTGAGGTTGTCCTTGTATGTGGAATAAATGGAGAAGAGGGAGATAATCATTCTACAGCACAGTTTTAGCTGATGCTTAACTATGAGCTTTCTTTGGTAAGCAATTTTACATCTCAGTGTCTGTTATAACTTTACCCTCGTTTATTTTCTGTTGAGTAAAAATCGGAAACTTCTTCAAATAACATTAAAAATAGCAGGAAAGAAAGGTAGACAAGATAAGGAAGTGACTGGTATTCCAGGGAAATAATATAAAAGAAATAAGTCCATTGAAGAGAGATGCAATACCTTGCACAAGACTGTGTTCGTTGGATAAATCTATAAAAAAAGACAGGCTATTTTAGAAAAAAGCAAAAGTTCCACATCCAAACAAGAGTTTCTTTTTTTGCCTGTGTTTATTGGAAAGACTTTTAATTTAGACCCATTTCTATGATCTGAGACCATTGTTTTAAATACATTACCAGAATAAAAGAATAGAATCATCCAATGCCAGTTGCGTTGGATAAAAAGTAACACAAGCTCACTAGATTATAGGAGAGTTCGATAGGCTTGGTTAGCTCTTGATGTGCTTTAAAATGAAAAAGATAAAAGAGAAAAGCTGGGCCAGAGTTCATCTGCAAACATACATACAGAAGGACAAGAAACTAAGGAAGGGCAGTGCTGGAAATGGGGAAGCTTGCTCTGGTGGAAGCTGAGAAGAAAAGGATTCGGATTAGCAAGACATCATTTTGTAGTGTCTCAACTTTTACTTTCTAGATTCTCCAAAGCCGTTTGAGAGCATTATAAAGTACTTGACTATGAGTTCCACTTAAATTTGTTTTTAAATACTGGACATTTTGTGATAGGAATTGCTCGTTTTATAGTTGTAGCTGAAATTTTAGCATGAATCATACATTGTTCTGATTTATATAAAGTCTAAATATTATAATTGATTTTATATAATAAAATGTGATGCAGACCCCTTTTATTTTAATTAGTTATGCTTTTAATCCATTCTTCTTCCATAATTAACTGATTACACTGTCAAAGAGTACATAGTGATTTACAAAATACAAATGTTATATATACATACATGTATAAAAATGACTTTATAAATTAATTACACAAATTTCTTAATGAGGTGCCAGCAATTTGTTTGGTTCAGTGGATTAAACATTTTATTTAATAGTAGGAAAAGGTCAAGGCGTGTTGGTGCATGCCTATAATACCAGAACTCTGAGTGAAAGCTGAGGCATCTCAAGTCAGGACTTGATTGGGCTACAAAATCCATACACGACCTGGGGTATGTGGTGAGACCCTGTCACAGAAAGTAAAGATATGGCTAAGTAAAGTAGGAGAGAAAAGAAGGGGCAAAATTTCTACCCAGAACTGAGAATTCAGTGCCCAGTATTTTGACTGCAAGGACATATTTATATTCAACCTTTAATTCGATTTCTCACATGCTTGGTGAAATACCTGAAGACTAAGCAGCCTGTGGTTTTTATAGAGATGGTGCAATTTACAGTCAAGTTCTAGATGGTACAAATTACACCTCACCCACTCCAAATTATTATAGTTGACCTGCACATTGGCTCATGGCGAGAAATTAGTTTTCAAAAGGAAAAGGAACCCAGGCAATTTGTTATTTCACTTATTCAAGGAATATTATGAAGACACGGTCCCTCTTACTAGCAGAATTTCCTCCTGGCTTCTCCAAGGAGTGGCTGTACAACTGATGAGCAGCTCTTCACTCCGTTCCTCTCCATGACTTTCTTTTTCTCCTTCCCCCAACTGTAGGGAAGCTTAGATCAGGGTCACAGGTCAGCCCCACTGTTTCATATGAGATTTACTGCTTCAGTCAGCTGACCCGTGTCACTCTTGGCCTATTTTCTTTTCAGGAATTCTCCCTGAACTTGCTCCTCGATTCTTTCCCGGCATTCCTTTAAAGCGTTTAGGAAAAAGATCCTGGGCGTAGACTCCATTTGGAAATGTGAGGCCTGAGGTTCCCACTTGCATTATCACAAGAACAGGCCTCCATGTCTAGTTCATTCCTATTTATGCTCTTGCATCCCCCAGACAGTGATGCCACACAAGCTGTTTCACCTAGGGCTGAGCTTCCTCAATTTTACAGGAGGAACAGAGAAATGTGCTCCTTCCTTGTGTCACTGGGGATTTGAAAGTAGAGAAATTCGCGGCAGCTAGGCACGCGGTGCACAGCAGTTTCTGCTGTAGGAAACCCTGGATGATAACGGCAGAGGAGCAAGGCAGCGGCTCTCTGCTGCGTTTCCTTAAATCTGTTAGTACCTTTTCCCCCACATATTTTCTCTTTTTCTTGAAAACTTTTAGTTAAATGTCTTATTTAATATTCAGCCGGATGTGGTGGCACAAGCTCTTAATCCCAGCATTTAGTCTCTGTGAGTTCTATGTAGGCCAGCCTGATCTACAAAGCAAGGTCCAGAATAGCCGGGACTGTTACACATAAAAAAACAAGAAAATATTCATGCATGCATATAATGTGTTTGAATACAATCTATACTTCCAATTCCTCTACGTTTTCCTCCCAAATTCTTGCATTTCTCCCTCCTTTCTCGTTCACTCTCTGGGTTTTTCACATCCACTCAGTCCATTTTATTATGCTGCCAATTTGTGCATGGCTATGGGACTTCATCTCTTGGAGAATGAGCAGCCTCTCGGGGCCTGCAAACCTGAAGAAAAGGGACTCTCCCTCTCTCAGTAGCTAACAACAGTCAATAACTCCTAACATGTTGGTGGTACTTCGTGAGCCCATCCCCTTCCATGCTGGGAATTTGTCTGGCTTAATATTTTGCAGGATTTGTACATGCATCCCGAGCCATTGTGAGCTCATGTGTCTAATTTCCACATCCATCAAATACTGTATCATTGCCGACGTTCACTGCCTCTGGCTGTTAGACCCTTTCTGCCTCCCCACTTTCATGATTGACCCCTTATCCAGTAAGTACTCTGGTTTCCCAGTGTATTTATTTAGATCGTCACACTCCACAGTCTCTTTCTTTGCTAGTGGACTGGTTGTTAGTTTCCACTGAACATCAGTATCCTAGGCTGACTATTCTTCAAGGATAGCTTTATTTTCAGGGATGCAAATTGTTCCTAGTTTGAAAATATTATATTTAAAATCTAAGCAGTTATAATACTGTTCAAGTTCATGTGACAGCTCGAAAGATGCTTTTGCAAAACACAATTTGGGAAAGGGCTGGAATCCAAGAAGGAAGAATGTCCCCACATCTTCTAGCTGAGACTTGCTCCTGAATAGCTCTGTAGGCGTCTTCCTGAATTCTCTACGTCCAGGAACTGATGTCTGTCCTCATTCTGGATATCATATCTGCATGTTTAAAATGAGAAGAACGAAATAAATGTTCCCTCAATGCTAGACATTGTGAAAATACACCATGACTTCATTTCTACAGTGAGATTTCCTGACCATTTGTTTATCAGAACCTCCACCAGGGGGTGCAAAGTGCACCGAAGGAGAGAATGAAATAGGTCCGTCTTGACCCTGAAATCCATACGTGTTAAATGGCTCAAAAGTTGCACATAACAAGGAGGCACTCGGCATTTATAATTGACTTTAAGTCACGTGGACCATCTTAACTGGAGAAGGATAGAGGTGGAGATTTCTATTTAAAGAAAGATGAAATACTCCATATTCCTAGCCAGGCGTTCGGAGATCTCTAAAACAAGAGTTACTGTTTTGTTTTGGGGTTAGGACAGCATAGTTTAAGTATCATACTATGTTTTTAAAATTTTTGCAATTGCTTCTCTATGTAGCCCAGATTGTCCTGGAATGCGCTCTGTAGACTAGGCTGGCCTCAAACTCACGACTCATAAAGATTTGCCTGTCCATGCCTCCCTGATGCTGGGATTAAAAGTGTGAGCCACCACCAGCAGCAGCTTCTTAGGGTTCTTTTTTATTTATTTTTTCTTGGTTCTTTTAGAGACAGGGTTTCTCAGTGTAGCCTTAACTGTCCTGGAACTCGCTCTTTAGACCAGGCTGATCTTGAACTCACAGATATCTACCTGCCTCTTGCCTTTCAAGTGTGTGCTTGGATTAAAGGCATGTACCACCATCATCTGATCTCTTAGGATCCTTTTAAAAGTTACATTTGAATGTCCCTTTCCCTCTTAGCCACCTGTGATTATGAACTTTTCTAGCCACTGCAGGTATCCAAGACAAACCCCAAATCCAAAGTTCAAAAAATTAAGTCAAATTCTGACTTCGTGAAATGTTGTTGTCTTCTAAGTACCATGATGTCACATCAGATGTGTCGTGCGTGACTTCTGACCAGCATATGGAACACCTGGTGCGCCACCTCCCAGAGGCTGCTGGGAGCCATAGACAATAAATGTTTTCAAGCTGTAAAGCTCTCAGAGTCACTTTAATGTTGCCTGAAGATAACAAAAATGAGACCTTCTCAGACGCTGGTCAAGGCCCTGGGTTCCAGTATTCCCATTGTGCATTCTGAAGACGCCATGACAGCATTAGTGTATTGAGGTCTGGAAGAAATCCCTATCCCTCTGTGTTCAGTGTACCATATTTCTCAGTGTAGTGGACCACTAGAAATTGAATGACACATGCACGTGCACACCCTAGAAGTTTGTAACACACATGATTAAACCCTCCTTAGAGAAGTTGAATTATAAAGGGTTCTACTCTGGGTGTCTGTAAAAAAATAAGAAGCATATTAAGAATGATGTAATGATTGTCTGCCTAATGCCTCTGACATTTTGACCTTAAGATGCTCCTCGCTAATTTCTCCATGACTTGGAATCAGAGCAATAGCAACAAAGCGTTGTCTTTGCATATCCAGTGGTTCCAAATTAACCTGTCTTCTCAGTGGCTTGAATGCAGTAGACACAGGGTAGATATTCTTTTAGTATATTGGGAACAGATCTGTAGGAGCGTGAGCAGGTGAGTATTATGGGGAAAATCTATGTGTATAATTTAAAACACCAAAGAATCACCTCTAGTTGTCTAGAACTAGACACTTACTGCCCTTTCTTTATTACTAGGTGTGCAAATTATGATGACCAGCATTCTGATGGCTGGTATATCTGGTAAGGATTTCTTCAGATTGTTTTATGAAAACATGTGGATGTCCATGTACATTTGTTATCCTAGATAATTTGAAACAGCATGTATAATCATCAGCTGAAGGGAAATTTAGGGGAGTATGAATCAACAGTTTTGACATATCAATATCAAGACAATATTTACCAAATGCCTCCTATGATAAAGAATCTATTGTTTTCAAGACTCTAAATTTATTCTATAGCTGGAGTTTATTACTGATAAAGTAACTGCTCCCTCTTGAAATCTTTCTAAATTATTCTTCCACTTCTAGTTGTAAATACCCATCCAACATACTCAAATGTGTCTTTAATGAGATAATCCTCCAGAAAATTTAAAGCAGTTCTAATTCCCTAAATCACAACTTTTCTATCTTCCAAACCTAACATCAACCAATGCTGCTAATAAAATTTTCAATTCTTCCAAGGCAGAGACACTATCTTGTCTATCTTGAATCCTTAACCCCTATACTTCAAATATTGAATTGGTGAATAAGATGAAGGAAAAGAGGGAAAAAGAAGGAAGGGGGAAAGGAAAGAGTGACTTCACTTTTTAGGTTAACCCTTAGTTTTCAAAGAAAAAAATGCTTGTCACTAGTTATTAGCACCGGCTCTTTCTGAAGACCTCCAGATCTATTGATGATATAGAAAGATGGGCAATCGCTCCTGTAGTTTGACATTCCAGTTTGCTTGCACCTGAGCATAGCTGAGTCCCTGTATGCTTCCCAGGCACTTACAGAAACGCATACTCCTGAATTCTCCACCTCACTTCTCTGTTTTGGTGCCAGGTTCCTACTGATGATACTCTTGGTGGTTCTCCTCTGTGTAGTAGTGTTTCTCTGTCTCCGGTCCTGGCTGAAAAGGTGCCGAATAGATGATTCTCCCAGACGCACTGTGGCTGTTTTTGCTGTTGGAGACTTGGATTTCATTTATGGTGAGTTGTCTGCTACTTCCTCTATGAGTCCTTGAAAAACTATCATTGCAAAGCAGATCTACACACTTGAAAAATGCATCCCTATTGGGAGACTCAAAGGCATGTATTGAAGAGAGACCATACAAGAGGAAAATAGACAACAGGAAGGAAACGTGCCTCACTGACTGACAGAGAATGGCAACAGAGCCTAAGCAGTTTGGTCAATCAACAGATGGATAGAAACGTATGGAGATGGACAGTTAAAGAGGGTGGTAGAACTTACAGTTCAGATGAGCATCTTTTGGCCTTGGCGTCGCTCCACCCTATGCCATAGTTAAAATCTTAATCATTAAGTCTTTGCAAACTCATTTAACTCATCTGAAGTAACACAGAACCATATTTTCTGAAGTATCAGTTGCCAATATAGAATCTAAAATCATTAAGATTGGGCACAAGAAAGTCAGCTATGATGTACTTTCTCTGTCTGCAGAAACACCAACGATTCCCGGTTCTACCAGCACCCGTCCTATCTATCCCAAAATATACTCTGGCCATCATTTCCCAGTTTTTGTTCAGGGTTAAAAGAAGAAGAAGAAGAAAACGAGTTATTTGTAGCAGTCAGTTTTTTCAGTAAGCAGAGTGAAAACCACTTATCGCTTGATTGCTTCCAAGTAGCTGCAATTGATAATCATTTCTTAACCCGTAAGCACTGCCCCTTCCTTTCAGAGATGGTTGATATGTTCCCTCCCAGATTTTACTTTCTCACACAGTTAACCAAAAAGTTCTTCATAAAAATTAACTTGGCTAACTTTCAGAAGCTTGGGTCAGTGTGGGATTTTCAATATATAAAACAGAAAAGCAAATGACTATGTCAAAAAGGTAAAACATAAGCTAAGAGGGTTTAACATGAGTATGTAATGTTCGTGAGATTTAGTGAGTCTTAAGCTTCCCTGGAGTGTTCAGGCACAAAAGGGGACATTTGTATCGCCACCTGCTATTGCTCAGGGACCACTGAGGAAGAGAGAGCCAAAAGATCTTAAGAGGCAGAGGCCTATGAGGGCTGGAGCAGAACAGTGTCTTCTGGCCTTGAGAGGACACAGACTCTCATGAGTTCACAAAGACCAGCGCAACACAAGTCAGACAAAATTCCAGCCTGGAGAGAGGGGTGTATGGGACACAATTCCTTCCTGAGGAGCTATGGACAATTAGCAGATTCTGTGAGATAGCAGAGTAGGCTAGTCGTGCCCGAGTAGACGGTCTCTTCCCACATGCAGCACAAACGAGACTTGGTGGGTGATTAGAAACAAAAACGAGGACAACAAGTTGGAAATAGGAAGAGAGGAAGATGTAGATATGGAAGTTGGTGGGCAGCTGGAGGTAGGGCTGGTAGTAGGTGGGGAGGTAGTGGTGGACCTGGGAATAGATGGGGACATGGGGTGGCTCTGGGAGTGTGTTAGGAGGGAGTGATGGCTCTGGTAGTAAGTGGGGAGCTGGGGTGGATCTGGAAGTAGGTGGGGAGGTAGGAGTGGATCTGGGAGTAAGTGGGAGGTGAAGGTGGATCTGGGAGTAGGTGGGGAGGTGAGGGTGGATCTGGGAGTAGGTGGGGAGGTGAGGGTGGATCTGGGAGTAGGTGGGGAGGTGAGGGTGGATCTGGAAGTAGGTGGGGAGGTGAGGGTGAATCTGGGAGTAGGTGGGGAGGTGAGGGTGGATCTGGAAGTAGGTGGGGAGGTAAGAGTGAATCTGGGAGTAGGTGGGGAGGTGACAGTGGATCTGGGAATAGGTGGGGAGTTAGGGGTGGATCTGGGAATAGGTGGGGAGGTAAGGTGGATCTGGGAGTAGTTTCCAGGAGAGTTTGGAGCAATTATGATCATGTACACATAAATGAAATTCTCAAAGACTTAACCAAAATATATTAAATGAAAAATATTTAGTGATTATTTTTGTCTATATGCTTCCCAGCATGAAGCCATTATTTAACAAGGATAAGACGCTATCAATTTGAGAAATTGTTGTTTGGGAAAGGATAATTAAATTCTACAATAAAAATAAATAGCTCTTTCTCCTAAAATAAAAATTGCTTTTCATGTAGCATCAAGGGAATTAGGGTCACTAACCTAACAAAACATTTGTCAAAGGGATATGCATGGAAATATTGATCTTCTTTTCTTTATTTAAATAGAATTAGTTAATAAATGTAATTTTTTTCTGCTGAGAAAACTTATAATCAAAAAAAAAAAACTATACAACCTTATTTCCTTGCTTCTTCCCTCTCTCTGAAGACAACTGTTCTATCAGGCTACCTTAAATCTTAAGAAAAGTCTCCTGAATTTTAAATAGCATTTTCCTAATGATTTGGTTACAGTTTTTAAAGGCTGCTGTTATAGCCATGGGTAGTATTGTCTTTCTATTTGTTGCATGGTTGTTCTCAGAAGTGACATTGAACTTGCCTGTCCAGTCTCAGAGCAGGACAATAAAATATCAAATCCAACACATTACCTCAGGAATCTGCATAGATGTCCCTAAGACCTGGGCCTTAGAATTATGAGCTCTGCATTAGGCTGGACTCATTATAAACATAAATAAATAAATGCCAGAAATAAATCATCTTCTAAAAAGGCTAATCTGCCTTTCAGATCTACCAAGTCCTAAACAATAATTTGAGACTTTTTCGACCTTATCTCTATTTCATAAATGTCAGCTTCAGAAAGTACTCATCATTTCTCTTAGAGGAGATCTGTTCTCCCTTTCCCCCTTCTCCCTTTCTCTCCCCCTTCTCTCTTAGTTCATATATTAATAAACCTTTGCTATGAAATGGGGGTAGGTAGCTATACAAATTAATGTGAGTGCTCATAACCTAGCCAGTTCATCCCATCATACAGCCGAACACACAGAGATTTAAAGGCCAATCTTGGATGGCAGGAATTGCATTCTAGGATTTTTTTTACTTATTTATTTATTTATAAAAATTTCCACATCCTCCTCTCCTCCCCATACCCTCCCATTATTCCCCCCACTCCCTCTCCTCCTCCCTTTCCAGTTCTAAGAGTAGTCAGGGTTTCCTGCTCTGTGGGAAGTTCAAGTTCTTCCCCCCTCCCTCTAGGTCTAAGAAGGTGAGCATCCAAACAGACTAGGATCCCAAAAAGCCAGTATATGCAGACAAAACAAGACCCAGTGCCATTGTCAATGGCTTCTCAGTCAGCCCCCATGTCAGCCACATTCAGAGAATCTGGTTTGATCACATGCTCGTTCAGTCCCAGTCCAGCTGGCCTTGGTGAGCTCTCATTTGATCAGTCCCCTTGTGTCAGTGGGTGAACGCATCCCTGGCAGTCCTGACTTCGTTTTTTATGCTTTCCCTTCTTCTGCTCCTCATTTGGACCTTGGGGACTCAGTCCAGTACTCCAATGTGGGTCTCTGTCTCAATCTCCATCTATCGTCGGATGAAGGTTCCCTCTGGTTTTGCCTTCCTTGCTTAAGTTCTCCCTCCTTCTGCTTCTCATTTGGACCTAGGGAGTTAAGTCCAGTGTTCCAAGATGTGTCTCTGTCTCTATCTCCATCCATCGCCAGATGAAGGTTCTATGGTGATATGCAAAATATTCATCAGTATGGTTATGGGCCAAGGCCAGTTCAGGCACCCTCTCCTCTGCTGCCCAGGGAACAATCTGGGGACCTCTCCTTGGGCCAGGGAACCTCTCCAGAATCAAGTCTCTTGCAAACCCTAAAATGGCTCCCTTAGTTGAGATATATACTTCCTTGCTCCCATATCCATATTTCCTCCCTCCCCCCCATCCCATTCCCCCAAGCCATCTCCAATCCTCCCCCTCTCCCTTCTCTCTAATCATCTCCCCTTACTTCCACCCCCCACCCCCCGTGCACCCAAGTTTGCCTGGCAATCTTGTCTACTTCCAATATCCAGGAGGATAACTATATGCTTTTCTTCAGGTTCACCTTCTTATTTAGCTTCTCTAGGATCACGAATTATAGGCTCAAAGACCTTTAACTATGGCTAGAATCCACTTATGAGTGAGTACATACCATATTCCTCTTTTTGGGTCTGGGTTACCTCACTCAATAAAGCGTTTTCTATTTCCATCCATTTGCATGCAAAATTCAAGATGTCATTGTTTTTTACTGCTGAGTAAAACTCTAATGTGTATATGTTCCACACCTTCTTTAACCATTCTTCTATTGAGGGGCACCTAGGTTGTTTCCATGTTCTGGCTATTACAAATAGTGCTGCTATGAACATAGTTGAACAGATGCTTTTGTAGTATGTGAGGGCATCTCTTGGGTATATTCCCAAGAGTGGAATTGCTGGGTCCTGAGGGAGGTTGACTCTCAATTTCCTGAGAAACTGCCACACTGATTTTCACAGTGGCTGCACAAGTTTGCATTCCCACCAACAATGGATGAGTGTTCCCCTCACTCCACATCCTCTTCAACATAGGCTCTCATTGGTGTTTTTGAGTTTAGCTATTCTGACAGGTGTAAGATGGTATCTCAAAGTGGTTTTGATTTGCACTTCCCTGATCGCTAAGGAGGTTGAGCATGACCTTAAGTGTCTTTTGGCCATTCGAAGTTCATCTGTTGTGAATTCTCTGTTCAGTTCAGTACCCCGTTTTTTAATTAGGTTAATTAGAGTTTTAGTGTCTAGTTTCTTGAGTTCTTTGTATATTTTTGAGATCAGACCTTTGTCTGATGAGGGGTTGGTGAAGATCTTCTCCCAGTCAGAAGGTAGTCTTTTTGTCCTACTGACAGTGTCCTTTGCTTTACAGAAGCTTCTCAGTTTCAGGAGGTCCCATTAATTCATTGATTCTCTTATTGTCTGTGCTACTGGGGTTCTACTTAAGAAGTGGTCTCCTGTGCCTGTGTCTTGTAGACTACTTCCCACTTTCTCTTCTATCAGGTTCAAAGTGGTCAGATTAATGTTGATGTCTTTAACCCATTTGGACTTGAGTTTTGTGCATGGTGATAGATATGGATCTACTTTCATTCTTCTACAGGTTGACATCCAGTTATGCCAG